GACTACGACCGATAAAAATGCCTACATTTTATGTTAGGACGTAAACGAGTGACGAAGAATTTTCTTTCTCTTTTTTAACTTGCATATAAAATGGCCGTTCCGGGAGCATTTGGAAAAGTTGCTTCAAAGCTTTTTGTCGAATTTATTTCTTGCTAACATGTACATTTTGTCGAGTCAGTATTTGTTTTGCTCTAGGACGGTAACGAAAGAGGTTGTATAAGTGGAAAGCACGATTTCAAGATGGCGCCACAGGAAGAAACGCGATAGCGTTTTGTGGAATTTTGTGACGGGGAAAGGCAGGGAAAGGAGGGGGGTCAATGTATTTTGGTTACTTAATTTTTCTTATGAAATGTTTGATGTTATTGGCTATGAAGACTCGTAATCAGTTTACGAGCCTTCATAGCCAATAACATCACGGCTTCACCGACGGACGACCACTAACATCGCGACGTAATTGACCAATCAGATCAATAACCAGAGTATAATACCATCAACTGACGACATACAACTCACTTTGACTCTGAAGATGACTACCGCACTGGTTGTCGAAACGTTAGTCGCTGTCAACAACAACAGTGCTATTCAGGACTAAGTCCACCCGGACTATCAAACTCAACCTACTTTTAATTTTTGTTGTCATATTTTTAAGTTTGAGGGCCACTTATTATTCCGTTGAAGTACTGTCCCGTGGTACCCTCGTTAAGGACGGTGCCCACTATTGTTACTGCGCTCATTTTCTGTGCATGCCAATGTAGTCGCGCGCGACGCGAAAGAAATGTGCAACGCGCAGAACACGCGGGCTGGTTTTGTCTCCTGTAAGTCTGGGCGGTTCTAGTTATTTCTTGTGGAAAAGATGCGTCGTTTTTCAACAGATGAAAACTAATTTCTATTTACCTTGTCAGTTCTTTGAAAACCGAAGAAGTATGCGCATGTTGCCGTTTCTACGTATGATCGATCTGACCGAACATTTTAAAGTCAAACAAAAGTCAATTCTAAAACATCAAAAGTTATTACTTCAAGATGCTGCGCTTGGAGCTTAGGTATTAAAAAATCCCTAAATGCGCTTTTCAAAAACACGCGAATTATGAAATTCAAAAGCCAACTGATGACTTCGTTTTTCGCTGCCGTCAATCATCTTAGCGGACCTCTTAGAAAACAAAACTTTACTTCAACGGGTTCAAAAGGTCATGTATGGGATTTGTCATTGGTGGATTTCGATCCGTTTTGGGTGGTTCTGTGTTTCGATGTTCGTTGCTTGTGATCGTAATTATGATTGACAGCAGCGGAAAATGCAATTGTGAGGGCGGCTTTTGAACTTTAGAGTTCGCATGTTTGTGAAAAGCGCAGTAATAGGCAAGGATCAGTAAATCAGAAGGAAAGTAGCTCTAAGTCCTCCGCTTAATCGAGAAACTGCAAGCTTACCTTTCACTCGCGTCCTTCGCGTTTTATCGGCTAATCGGCTATAAACGCTTTCCCGAATATTTCTTTAATTTTGTAAGATTTCATGTGATTGCTCACCAAAAGATAGATTTAAAGCGTTCGCATTCATACAGATATCTCTTTTATTGAGAGTCCGAGGGTTTTATTTGTTGAACAAACAAGAAAAAAAACTATCACAAGATTGCTTGGATTGCTGAGATCGCAGCTTCACAAATAGTTGCGGACCGCAAAGGAAATGCTTTCATCGTGGAAAAAATGGTAAAAAAAATATGCTTTTTACTATTATCATTGTTATTTAAGCATTTTGGCATCACTAAGCATTGAAATTATTGACTCATTGGCGGTATGGACATTTACACATAGATGCCATTTGGCTGTTTACAAACTAAAGATGGAAGGTAAAATAAAGCATTTCCATTTTAAGACTTTCTTAGGTTTATCAGACACTGTTAAGTCTAAAATTAACATTTAGAAACGAAAAATAGTGAATGATCCGACACAGAATGCTACAGTAAAAAAAATCAAAACGAAATATACAAAATGATCATTATAGCCCAGTGTATATATGAGGGTACATAAACGCATGCGGTACAACTACTTTCACACTATTCACCTTTTTTAAAAGAGAGCTCATGTATGGAACTTGAGTCTATGCAAATCGTTTATGTCATATGACACTTGTGGCAAAGCCCGAAAGAGATAGCGCAAAGCACAGATATAAGCTCATTGAATGTATGCAAGTTTGATAACATATTCGATCGAGGTACCCGATAAAATGATAAAAAAAATGATAGAAGGTTTACAATCCACATTACATCTACAGTTCAAAAAATCTTGAGGACATGTACAGGTAAGCAAACGATTGAAGGAGCTCCTGTCTTAGAGTCCCTGTCGACCATTTTCCACTACAGTACGGAATTTTGTTTGTTTACGTGGATCTTGGGCTCGCCATACTACTCTATGTGAGCTGCAAGTCATCTCTAATACCTTGGAGATTGCTCTTCTCCAAAAATTGTTTTTAAATGTTTGAGACGGAGAAGCTCCAGTTGAATGAAATAGTATAATTAGTTTTCCGTAGAGTCCATGAAATGTCCTGCTTCACTTTCTGTTTTTGCTCTCCTCCGTGTGTTGTTGTTTTCTCTGACTGTTAACCATTGTCGGATACCCCAGAATACTCCGCGTTGAGTGAAGCAATAGTGAAACTGACCAGGGAGAGGATGGGAAAAATTGTAAATAACCCCCAAAGCGATTAAGTTAAGGTCGAAACCAACCAATTTAACTTCTAAAAACGCGTGGTAACCCCTACTTTTTATCTTACCAAATGAAAGTAATAAGCCTACTCAGCAAACGATCAATTTTTGGTTCGGGGAAAATGTCTTTTACACTATTTTAGAGGCAAACGCGTGGAGAGGGGTAGTTGCTGACAACTTCCCAGTTGTGCTGATATTTCAAAAAAAGACGTATAAAGAGCAGTTGTTATGTTATCATTTGTTGCTTATTTTGAAACCTTCTTACAATTATCATTGCATTTGTTCCAGTTCACGTGTACGCTCAGAGATCTGGGGAAAAAAATAACTTTTTATCATTTTTCTTAAAAATGCCCATTCAGCGTTTTTCTCTATACTGGAGCGCAGTTATCTCTGAAAAATGCGTGGTTACCCCCAGTATTCTTTTTGGATTTCAATAACCCCTGATATGATCTACTTGTCTCACATAGTCATTATCTGGCAAAAAAAGTACTCCCCATTAGTGGGCACCGTCCTTAAATAAAGTTGATATTATTATTATTATTATTATTATTATTATTATTATTATTATAATTAAAATCTTTATTACAAAACCTCAATTAAAATCCTATTTACAATCAACCTGCTGTTACAAAAAATCTAATTAATTCATCAAAACACTATCTACAATTCTATCCGTTACAAAAGAAACCCCTCGGCCTTCATTAGAGAACAAAAACAATCCTATATATAATAAGTGAAGAAAGAAAAAACTATTCATTTACAAATTCTAAAAAATAGAAGTAACTTAACCTTACATAAAAGAAGAGGAAATAGATATAATTATTATAATAATTATAATTGTAATAATAATTATTAGATATTATTATTATTATTATTATTATTATTATTATTATTATTATTATTATTATCTCTATTATCACAGTCTTTGCTGGTGTTCTTTTTGTGCATCAGCCGGGCGCAAACCATGCACCTAGAGCGTCAGTCACTCAAGTCAATCATTCTGTTCATACACTGAGCACCTTTCTGAGGATTCGTGCAGATCCCAGCATGCAGATCTTTTGAATCTCTGCCATATTAGCTCTTTCTGATACTTTCTTGATGTTTTCTACCATACCCTTCTTCACTGTACCAAGCGCATCAACAACCACAGGGATCACTACGGTTTTCATATGCCACATTCTCTGTATTTCTAGTTCTAGGTCTTTGTACTTGCATTTTTTTTCAGTTTCCTTCAGTGCGATGTTTCTATCTGATGGAACAGTCATATCAATAAGTTTGCAGGTGGAATTCACTGAATCTTTAACGATGATATCTGGTCTGTTCGCTGTTATAGTTCTATCAGTATTGACTGGCATGTCCCACATGATGGTGATGTTGTTATCTTTATTGTGTATCACGGTCTCTGGTTCGTGTTCGTACCATTTGTCTGTAATCTCTATATCATGATCTTTACATATGCTACAATGGAGATATGCTGCAGCATTATTGTGCCTGGAGATGTACTCTGTTTTGGCTAATACCTCACATCCAGATACAATATGGTCCACTGTCTCTTCATGTTGCGAACACAATCTGCATTTGCTCTCCACTTGCTGGCCACATATTACTTTCTGGTAGTTTCTGGTGTTTATTGCCTGCATGGTCTTGGGCTGCAACAAGTAGTCCCTCTGTTTCTCCTTTCAAATTACTTGACAACCATTTGTTGGTGGTGACTGTGTCTACATGAGGCTTCTCTAGGATCTTTGGATACTAGCCATGCAATGCTTTGTTTTTCCACTTTTCTTCTTTCATTGACTTCATCCTGGACTTAAACACGTGTTTCAGGGCTTTAGCATTTTCAGAGGCAGATTTATCTTCTCTGTACTCAATCTCTGGCATTGTTACTTCCCTTTTGAATTTAGTAGCATTCTTGGATATTGAATTTTTGGCTTTAGATCTTTCATGTTCAAGCACCTGCTTTGGATATTGCCCTTCCTTGTGCTTCAGATAGTGATCAAGCCCTATTGTTACAGTTTTGAATGCTGTTTCTACATCAATCAGGCCCCTACCTCCTTCTTTTCTTGGGATGTACAGCCTTTCCACATCTACTTTAGGATGTAACATCTTGTGTATGTTCAGTAGTTTGCCTGTTTTTGTGTCAATCTTCTTCAGTTCTGGGATTTTCCAGTCAATGATGCCAAAGCTATATTGCACAACTGGGACTGCAAGATTATTGATAGCTTCTATTTTGTTTCTTCCATTGAGCTCAGTTCTTAGTATTAATCTTACTCTCCTATTATATTCTTTTCTTATCTTCTCTTTCATTTTGCTATGCTGGATACCATCACTTTCATCTACACCCAGGTATTTGTATACTCCTTCCTGGTCCAGCTCTTGCATTTCTGTGTCAACATGTATTACTATGTTTCCAGTTGAGGCCAGTTTACCTTTCATGAAACTGGCTTTGGCACATTTCTCAAGTCCGAATTCCATACCAATATCATCACTGAATTGTTTCACTATTTTCAGTTCTCCAACTTGTTCTTGCTCGTTCTTGCTATACAATTTTAGATCATCCATATAAAACAGATTGCTTATTGGAGCACTTGTATTTAAGATCTTGTAACCATACCCAGATGTAGCCAGCTCTGATGTTAAAGGCACAAGGGCTAGGCAAAATAGCAGAGGTGAGAATGAATCTCCTTGAAAGATCCCTCTTTTGATCTTGATTTGATCTGTTGTGATACATCCATCATTGTAAGATAGCTTCATCGTAGTTTTCCAGTTGCACATTGAGGTTCTCATGAACTTGATTAGTTTTTCATTAAATCTGTAAATCTGTAAGGTCTTCAGTATCCAGCTGTGAGGAACACTATCATAGGCTTTTCTGTAGTCTATCCAAGTCATACTCAAGTTCTTTTTCTTCTTTTTGCAGTCGTCTATGATCATTTTATTTATTAGGAGCTGATCTTTGCATCCATATGAACCCTGACACAACCTCTCTGTTTTATTATTATTATTATTATTATTATTATTGGTATTATTATTATTAAAGGGTTTATACTATTCCCCACCCCGGGTCCAACCTTGTCCGATCCCTGCCCTAGGGGAAAGTAAACTAAATTTCAAGTTCTATTTTTTCATAATTTGATAAAGTGACGTATTAATGATGGCATTATAACAGAAAAAATATATTTTAGTGAATTCTCACTCGTGGTCACTCTTGGTCTTTCGTGTTTCGTGGTCATTCGTGGTCACTTGGTCGCTCGTATGTACTTTTAGACACAATCTTTGGTTTGGGTTTGAACTTCAGAGCTCGCCCGCACTTGACTCGAAATTCTGAGGTCGACTTTTGGAAAGTGCAGTTTTTCAAAAAACAGTAATCGAATCAACATTCGACTATTGAATCGCGGCTGAATGTGAATATTGGATTGTTCATTTTATGAATGGATTATTGAATAAACAAACGAACTCATTTTTCCATTATTGAATTCATTAATTTGTTAGCGACGGGAACGCTTGACCGGCTTTGACTGTAAGATTTATCAGTTAATAATTTTCTTACCAGAGGGTTTTGGAGCCGGTCGTGAAATTAAAGAAAAACTTCTGTTAACCAATCCAATGAGAGACTCCACCTCTGCTTCTAAAAACTTTACGGCATCACTGACGTTCTCCACCTTTCCCTCTAAAGACACGACGGCATCGCTGAGGCCAGAAGTCTTGTTGTTCAGTCCAAGAAGAGTCTGCAGCTTTGTTTCTAGTGAGCGTAGGTTCTGATTTGCATTGCATGTGCAACTGCAGCTGCTAAACCGTGGTGTTTGACTGTTCAAGGAAAACGAAACAGTGAAAAGACCAAGCAGAACAATTGGTAAAAACATCATAAAAGAGGAATTGAGTCGATTTCACCTCACGTCTGAATTGCATGACTGTCTTTCTATTTTATATTGGGTCAGGATCCTGATTGGGTATATTGCCCAGTGATACTTGCGTCCCTATCCTCTCAATGTCAGTCTCCTTGAAGAGAACCATACGCGGAAGCTGTCTATTAATAGAGAGGAGAAGTCGTTACGTCACGTTGCCTTGGTAGCAAAATTTTTGGATGAAAACAATTTTACAAACTAAAAATTCACCAAAAAGAGAATTTGCACCGCTTCAAACTTCATCGATCTTATTTAATTTCATTTAATTTGTCAAAAGTTGGCGAAATTTTCTTGGTTGAATTTGAAAGGACCGTATCTCAGTTTAGAAAAAGGAAAACGAAAATTTTTGAGTTGGTTCGCCGACTCCATGAAGCGGGCGCTTGAAATTGGGAAGTTTCATGTCGCAGTCGTGCAACCACGGCAAAGAAATATACAAAATAGCTTGATGCACCTGCAAATTTGTTGTTTTGTCAATAAAAACCTTTTAATTTTTTGCCGTTCTCCTTCCGTCGCCGTCGTCGTTGGTTTTGTTGTCATCCAAAAATAGTGCTACCATGGCAACGTGACCAGACACTTCTCCTCTCTATTATCCAGGAACTATATCGACATAGCCTGCGAAAACATCCGTTTCTCCTGGCTCTTCGCAGCTAGGGACGTTTCGCGCGGAGGAGCGTAATGTTTCTCCGCGCTAAACGTCCCCAGCGGCCAAGATCGAGGAGAAACGGATGTTTTCGCAGGCTAATATCGATATTGGCAAAAAGCTTTTGCCAAAAAAAAAAACACCCACTTAATATATAATATAAAGATTTAGCCAGGGTTAAAAGCCAAGCTCTCAATAATACACGGTGTTTCAAAAGTTCGTTCCGATTTTTTCTTCGCTCAAATTTCTCTGATTGTTAAAAATTCCTTTTGTAAAACTTACTATGTTATTCTTTATTCATTTAACATCGAATAACCGCAATGTCGCTGACCAGAATATCTTTCTTTATGTTTTCTAATATTTTCTAAGTGGTGAGGGATAGAATGTACGAGCTCCCAAAGTGTGTCTACAGACACACTTTTCCAGGCGAAGCGTAGTCACTACCTTAGCTCGTCCAGTGATTTGGGGGCTGGTTCTTTGTATGTTTTCTCTAGCTCGTCAACGATGATCCAGATGGTCTCCAGAGGGTTCTCATCACGTGAGTTTCCTGGCCGGTCGCCCTTTGCTATAAAGTTTCCAAATCCTTCCATAGCTTCGCTATTACACATAAGTACGCGCGATGGACCATCGCAATCGCAAATGTTGGCGACTAATTAAAATAAATAGATCATAACAAATACACCATTCATTACCCAGTGGAACTTGCGGCACTGTTCTTGTTGCTGTCAGTCTTAATGGCCAAAGCCAGGCTTAGAAGATATCTACTAATTTTCCACGAACTATACTGACATTAGAACAAATCTTTTTCAACAAACTAAAAATTACACTTTCTTGTGTACTGCGAACACCTCGTTGTTTGTAGGCAAGGGACTTTTCCCGGTTTATAAACGGGGAAAAATTCCTTAGCTTGTATTGTCTTTCAGTAACTTTAACAGTCTTAATACCGACATCCATCAATGCATATTATGAACACTTTTTTCTTGTCCCATGAAAAGTTGACTTCGGCAATACGGACAATTCTTTGCCAACCGCGAGCTTAATAAGGTGTAAGGAGTTGTGGAGCTAATAACACTGTGTAGTCTATTCGTAAATTGTTGTCTTATAGTTTCTTGTTATTTTGTTCTGATAAAGTGTGTACATTTGGTTTAATGAACACGGACACCTCCATGTCACTACACTGGACGACAGAACAAACGAAATGAGGTCAAAGCAATTTTTAGCCAACAATGGAAAAAAGTTCAATATCTAATGGTAACTATTTTTGTTTTCGTTAAAAAAATACAGGTTGCGTTTCTAAATCCGTATCTCCTTCATTGCCGTCAAAGATTTGATTTTCCGTTCACCCAACCTCTGCTAAACCGCCCTTAAATTGTAGTCTGATCGATCCACCATTGCATTGAGATAGTTTAGATTAAAATCTTATTCTGGTTTCAGAGTTTCTGTTCCATTTATTTTTGGTCATAAGAATGTAGTTGTTCATCAGGTGATCAATAAACATGAGGCGTCAAGTCACTTCAGCGAAAAGGTATTTATGCTCTTCTGTGGTGCTATCCCTCCTAAGATTCTTAAAGATTGTATTGAACTCAATTTGCACCATAACTGTAGACCCACAAGGTAGTGAAAAACACTTGTAGACTTTCACATCAAAATATCAAACCTGTGTGTTTAGGGCGGCCTCTCAGCAATTAGTTTTAAAGAAACCTCCAAATTACTAATGAGTGCTGACTCGTTTTCTCGTTTTCCCTTTACATCTTGGGTAGAATATCAATACCCAATGAAACCCTTCTTTTACTCAGAAGTTATCTATTTACACTCCAGGAACGATATTGACAGTGGTCGAATTCATATAAAAAAGGAAAAACACTTAATAAAACGGGGTAATACAAACACCTTATTATCATGAACTCTACTTTGTTTTTAACCGCGGAAAATCCCTTGTATTGACCCTAAATTCGACTCGACACACGTCAATGCTGTTAGACTAGCTGACATTTATTTATTTTTGTTGCAGTTTTTCTTTCTTGTTGATATTTATTGTGTTCCCTATTGCGAATAATTCTTTATCAACTGTGTCCTTATATTAGTAAGCTTTACTCTTTGA